TTAAAATCTGAGGACTGGTATAATGCGTACATCTGCCACTTATTGGCATAGATAACCTTGAGAAACCCATCTCATATAAGCTTCAGTTTCCTCATTTATAAAATAAATATGATAACTGTACTTTTGCCCAGAATTGTTACAAGAATTATATGAGATATAATGTATAGAAAGTTACTAGCATTTTCTGTCACAAAAGATACTGTTCTAGTTATGATTTTTTATATTCTCCCACCCAACAAGAAAAAAACTACTCAATAAAAATTACATTTATTAAGACTCTGAGCTTATCCAATGAAATATATTTTTCTTTTACAAATACTACTTGTGGTCAAATCTTGGCTAGAAAGTTCTTGGAATTCTCCTCTCCTTATTTGTGTATTAGAGCGACATATGGTAATGTTTGGGGAGAGTAGAAACTTTATTGTGCTATTCGCTTTATTATTTGATGATTATTTGGCTCCCAGGAGCGTCTAATATTGTCCATCTCACTACATCTTGTCTGCTTCCTGGAGAGTTGTGGGAAATAACTGCAAGCCCCTCCTTCTTATCCCTCAGAAGTGAAGAGCTCTGCTCTCTGACAAGTTCTAGTGCCAACACAGCTTTGTACAGAGAGATTCAGGAATCAGGAAGCCTGGATTCAAGGTCAAAGTAGTCACTCACAAATTGCATGTCCTTGAACAAACCATTTAACTTTTCCAACACTCCATGATGTGGAGATGTTAATGTGACCTGTTCTTTTTTCTTTGTAGGATTATTGAATCCTTCACATAATGACTAATTTTAAAACACTGAAGAATTCCGCCACTTTGTATCATTATGGCGGACTTACTGATATTACAAAAATATAAAGAGTAGGGCCCATGACAAAATAATGAAATAATAAATAATGCTTTGTGAGAACAGGTTAATTTTGACAAACAGACCTTTTATAGAGGCTGAACAATTGATATCATTCTTTTTTCATAAAAAATTCTATTGCTGTTCCTTCTCATTGTGTTAACATTAAAAACTCCTCCAAATTTAACGTTTTAAAAGCAGATCTGTCTCAAAAGGCCTCTGCTCTTTTGCCCCATAGCTTGGAGATTGTAAGAGCACAGTCTAGAGCTTGCCTCTTTCTGACAACAGAGAAATCTAGACAAACAGGGAGTGTGTGAGCATGGTAGTTAGAAATACAGTTCAGGACAGAACTCAGAACTCTAAAGCCACCCTGCCAGGGTTCAAGTCCAAGCTAGCTTTGTGATTATGAGCACATAACCAGCCTCTCTGATCCTCACTTTCCTCATCCACAAGAGGATTGTAGGTGGTGTTTTTCTGTCTTTGTATCCTCATCACTGCCACAGCCCTATTCCAAGGGCATACTGGTAAGGCTGCTGTCTAAAGTAAAGCCCTGATTTGTGAGGTTTGCTGATTTCTGTGGTGTAAATACCAACACCATGTCTAGTGTCAAGCTACCAGTGGTCTAATACTTGAATGCCAAATTCCTGAATATTCAACAGTCATCTCTCACGCCCCTCTGTGAGTTGATTCCTCAGGCACTCAGTCAGTATGGACAGGTTAATCAGTCAAGCCAGTTGCTTCATCAAGCTGTATTAGACGTCCCACAAGTGATAAAGAAAATGGAGAAGGAAAATGTGCATGAGTAAAACAGTACATTAGAAGTAGTGTCTTATTTTAAATTCTGGTTTGTCAAAGCACAGAGACCCCAAATTGTTTCTCTACCATCTGATAAGAAATTAGTTGCATGTCCCAGGGTAGAATCCAGTTTTCATGATAGTAATTCAAATGACCCTATTTCCAGACAGCCCATCTTTGTCCCTCCCAGACTCCAGCTGCTTCTGGTTCAGTTTTATTTAAGAAATTGTCAGAGGCTTGCCAAATTGGAGCTGGAGAGTTTATTCACCTTGCCTTAGCCCCATCCTAACTTCCTTTCTTCCTCATCACTGATGTGGAATTCCACATTCCTGTGTCATGGCTCTCCTTAGTCTAAAAAACAAGAATCTAATTCACTCTAACATGTTACTGTATCCCTAAGTAACATGCTATTTTGAATAGCCAGGTGATACACAAGGAAGCATTTTTCCCAATCCTGGCTGCTTTCAACAATTCCCAGTTTCATTAAAGTGAGCACCTTTCCAAATTAGGGAAAAAAACCTAAGTTAGCATAATTTGAAGCAATCTTACCTCCTATTGCTGCCTCCTGACCACAGCCTTCAGGCTGGCTTTTTGGGCGGTTTGCATCAACAGTGTGGATTCGGTAAAACATCCATGAGAGTACTGTACATTCTATTTAAGACTATAGATTTTTAACTACCTTATATTTATAGCAATAAATCTATAAAATCCCAACATCTGTCACTACCCACTTAGCCGAAGAGCTCTGTAAGAGTGAGAATGGCTCTTTACACTATTTACAAAAGATCTTCAGAAGAAGGAAACACTCACTGCCCACTTTAAGATAATGATGGTCACTTGCTGTCACAAGGGATTTTAAATAAGTCACAAGCCTTAAAAAGTGAGGAGAATTGGAAAAGAGGCAGTGCCAACACAAGTTTGGAGGTAGAAGGCACAGGGACAGGTGATGAGAGGGAAGAGGAGAGAAGAAGGGAAAAGAGAAGTTCTGAGAGACCTGAATTCAAACTGGCAGAAGGGAAAGACTGAGGAACTGGAAGCATCAGTCTCTTCTAAAGAAGAGGTAATAAGGAGAAAGGCTCTGCATTAGTCTGGTTTTTGTTACTAAAACCAAATATCCAAAGCTAGATATTTTATAAGGAAAAGAAATTTACTGAGCTAACAGTTTTGGATGCCCAAGAGCACAGGGCCAGCACTGGCTCAGCTCTGGTAAGTACCTCAGGGCAGAGGACATATTGGCAGAGTGTGTTAGAGAGATCACATGACAAGATAGAAGCCAGAGTGTGGCTGGGGTCCCATGAGAACATTCATTCCTTCTGGGGATATGTCTTCAATGGCCTAACATCTCACTATGCCTCGTATCTTAAAAGTCCACAACCTTTTAACATTTTCGTAATGGGAACCAAGTTTCCAACAACTTTAGGTACACACTTAAATCATACCCAAACCACAGGAGGCTTAAAATAAGAATTGGCCAAACCTTGTATAAGAGGCAGGTAGAATGGATCTGGATTCCCACCTTTTCTTTGTACCAAGCTGCTGCTCCTCCTCCACCCTGGCAAAACCTCCAGGTGCTACTGAAATGCAGGATCTCAGGGCTGGAGAGCACCTGGCCCTGTGCTGCATAGGGGGATTAAAGTCAGTATGGCTCCTTGGATGCTGAGGTCCACCCCTCCTCCTCCACCACCCAGCCCTTCCAATGGCAGAACCCAGATCTTCATCCTGTCTCTATGCAGATAATAAGTCATTTCTAGAGAAATTTACCAACCCAGAGGTACTTGTTTCACAGTTAAAAAGCCTTACTCATAAGCTCAGAATTTGGCTTTAGATTTCCAATGGTTTAGTGCCCCAATATGAGCTTCTAAAAGAGGATTTACCAAACTAGTAAGGAAATCCTCTAACTTAAGTTAGATAATATATCAGGATTCACCAGAGAAACAGAATTAACAGGAGATTATCAAGCATAGGCCTCAGATGTCTTCGAGGGGCTGCAAGTACAGGTCACCAAGGGTAACTCAACCAGAGATACCTAGTTGGGGAAAAGTTTGGAGCTGAATTAGCAATGAGTATTCAGAAAATGAGCAACCCAAAACAGAATCATTTTTAACTCCAGGGAAAACAAAAAAATTTGTGCATAAAAATAATTATAGTTCACTATATAACTTAGCTATAAGTAGCATTTCATAGTCAATTACAGCACGGTAAACACTGATTCCTCTTTTTTAATATTTACTTTTATTAGTACATGTCTGCAGTTCCTAATGATTACATTAATCTTGGGGAGTTGGTACGTGTACATAACACATCTTAATATCACCAGCCCTGATTACTGATTTAACCAAAATTTCAATTATAATTTCAATTTTAATTATATAATATATTATATTATATAATAATAATAATAATATATTGGGAGGTAAGGCCATCAGAAATGTAGTGGAGCTGAAGGTTTGAAATAAAAGATATATAATAGAAAGCCAACAGAAAATGCCTAAGACTGAAATAATCACAAAATTGCACAGAAGGAAATACTGACATACTAAAAGGGCGCCAAGGTATGAGGAGGTGCAAATGCGGTATTTTACAAAATAAAACTGTATTTGTTTACTACATGCATGTATAACTCTGACAACAACCAAAAACAATGAATCTCAGGAGTATTTTGTAAGCAGAATAAAAAGATAATGCTGCTTCCTCCTAGAATCTTAGCTCATCTGATATTTAATATTCTCTGTAGTGAGGATATTAGTACCTATTTCTGCATTATGGGTTTCTAAATAAAGAAAGTAAAAATGATGCAAAAATCAGGATTTGAATAGGGAAGTTGGGTGAAGGCTGGAATTCTCCAATTATCAAGTGCATATGTCAATTTGAGTTTCAACTGAATTGTCAAATAGGCTCATTGTACCTTGCTCTTCCCTAACCTCCTCTCCAGGTTGGGGTTTTCATTCTTAGCTAAGGTGAAAGGACACAGGGATAGGAGGGGGCAGAGGAAGAATGGACCCTGATACCAATAGGACATCACTCCCACTGCTATTTACAGTATCAGCACAGTAGAGAAGGGATCTTTCCCCCATCTTGGTGTCTGCTCTTGGAATCTGTCCCTTGCATGTCTCTTACAATCTCAGTAGCATTCATGTATGTGGTTAATTAGGTGGATTTTTGTCTACTAGTCGGGAATTCAAACTGCAACTTGGGATTTCTGTGGCAAGATATATTCCAAATAACTAATTTGCTAATCATCTTTGGAATTTGGCCTCTGCTTAAGATATGGTTCAACAGAGAACCAACAGGATGTGTTATGACTGCATACAAGCACTCTGAGCATTGCCATTGGCATCCATGTCTTATGAGGCCCTCTGTTTCCCCAGGCTATCAGTGTACCTGTCTCTCACAGTTCACGGGGAGAAACTGTGAATCAGAGATCACAGCCTGCTTCCCAAACCCCTGCCGGAATGGAGGATCTTGTGACCCAATAGGAAACACTTTCATCTGCAGTTGTAAAGCCGGGCTCACTGGAGTCACGTAAGTGAGATTGTGTTATAGCCTCTCTCTACACTGCTGTTTATTGCTAAGAAAATAAAGCAGTGGGCAATTCATTGGATCTAAATGTTTACCACTGATATAACAGACATAGCATTAATGTCTTATATAAAGAGTACAAAGTGACTAAAATGTTAATAAGGATTAATAAGGGTACCATGGTTATGGGTAATTTATATTGTTTATTCTGAATTTCTCTGTATTTGCAAAATTTTGTATCACTGTTGAGTATTTTGTAATTTAAAAACCAATTCTTTTAAAGGAAGTCATCAATGCCACCTAATATTACCAGTCTAATTCTGAGGCAAACAACTACTCATTTCCCCAGACTCCATTAACTGTACTCTACTGCCTAGTGTTTTATGATCATTCTGAGAAACTAAAACATACCTTTCCTTTGCAACCCTTTTTCCTCCAAGAAATGAGTGAAATTAAAGTGTTAGCCAATGGAAAGGGAATGTTTTAAATTCTTAGTAAAATGCCACTTTCAACCATCCTTGATAGTTTCAGAAGTACATATATATATATATGTAATCTCAAGCAAGTGATACTCTAATTACAGATCAGTCTTATGTATTCATTAGAGCAAATCTCCTGAGGACTTTACCAGGAAATACTTACCTGACTTTGAATTGCTGAAAGTAATTTAAAGTAATAAAGCTGCATTTATTTTTAAATACTTTGTGATTCTAACTGATTTCCGGGTGACCTGGCCTCAATCTGTTCATATTAGGAACGTCTGACTACATTTTAAAAGGCAGGTTACCAAAAATGTAGGTGATTGGGCCTTTTATTTGAACACATCAGAACAACTGCTGAAGTAGAGAGAAATGAAGAAGGAAAGAAGGTCTTTGTTTTCAGCGAGTGTTAGGGTCAGAAAGAACAAAGACTTGCTTGTCTTCTAATTGGTATACACAAAATGAGACATGGGTTGCTTTAAAGAGAATAAAATTGATTTAATTATTTTTCATTAGAATGTTTTAGTCATTTTCCCCCTGATAACTCTGCGTTAGCACTAGCCTTTTCTTTTTTTTTTTTGGTACCGGGGATTGAACTCTGGTCCTTGCTCTTGCGCAGCAGGTGGCAAAACCATTGAGCTAAATCCCCGGCCCCTGCATTATCCTTTAACATGAGCATAGAATCTGGAAGCTATGAAGCTCTCCATCCACCTACCTAGCCTTGCCGTTCCCAGCTTGCCGGAGGGAACAAAAATGACTGTAGCCATAAAAGGAAAATGTCAGAACTAAAAACCTCTTTCCTCGCAGAAAACTATACAATGGGCACATAGGATCACAGCTCTTTATCTGAAGTTCTGCAGTCTCAAAACCTCGAGAAGTAAAATGGCTTGGCATGCATTAGTGGCAAACTAATTTAGTGGCAAAACTTGTCCAAAACTGCTCTGAGGCTCTTTCTAGTCTTCAGTTCTCCCGTTTAGTGTGGATATCCACATGTCTCTCCGCAGAAACACTTCTATATTTGATTATGAGGTCTTATGCTAGCCCCAGTTCCCTTGGAGGGCAGGAGTAGTCTACACAATGTGGAAGACATGTACTATGTGTCCTTTCTAAAATTGTACAATTTTATATTATGATACACACCTGGCCCCGAGGATTTGGAACTTGTTACTTTTTCTGTTGCATCTGTTCTTTCTCTCCTCTACCACAACACTTTCTTCTCCCCACGCGGTAGGGGATGAGGAATTGGAAAAGACCGAAATGGTAGGAATATGTCTGCTCAAGATGATGCCTGCGAGCACTGAGGCCACAGAAATGCCTAGATTAGCACCCCCATGCACACACATACACACGCATACAAACCTCTCATGCTTCGTTGGTTCCCTTCAGATGCTTTCTTCTCTCTTGAAGACAGCCTTTTTCTTGCGCTCCGGTGCACTGGTGGGTGCCCGCGTGTCTTGATGTTGGGGAGGGCTTCTTTGTGCTCTGTCCCTGAAGGTGTGAGGAAGACATCAACGAGTGCGAGCGGGAGGAGTGCGAAAACGGCGGCGCCTGCGTGAACATGTTCGGCTCCTTTCTGTGCAACTGCACACCGGGCTACGTGGGCCAGTACTGCGGGCTGCGCCCCGTGGTGGTGCCCAACATCCAGGCGGGCCACTCCTACGTGGGCAAGGAGGAGCTCATCGGGATCGCCGTGGTCCTCTTCGTCATCTTCATCCTGATCGTCCTCTTCATCGTCTTCCGCAAGAAGGTCTTCCGCAAGAACTACTCCCGCAACAACATCACGCTGGTGCAGGACCCCGCCACGGCTGCGTTGCTCAACAAGAGCAATGGGATCCCCTTCCGCAACCTGCGCTGCGCCGGCGACGGACGCAACGTCTACCAGGAGGTGGGGCCCCCGCAGGTCCCCGTGCGCCCCATGGCCTACACCCCCTGCTTCCAGAGCGACTCGAGGAGCAACCTGGATAAGATCGTGGACGGGCTGGGGGTCGAGCACCAGGAGATGACCACGTTTCACCCCGAGTCCCCGCGCATCCTGACTGCCCGGCGGGGCGTGGTGGTGTGCAGCGTGGCCCCCAACCTCCCGGCCGTGTCACCCTGCCGCTCTGACTGCGACTCCATCCGGAAGAATGGCTGGGATGCAGGAACTGAGAGTGAGTAGGAAGTACCAATTTGCAGTTCATGAAGTGGCACTCTGTGGTGTGCCTACGCTACGGGAGGAAATCAAGGGAAAGGAGTGCGCACGCGTGCACTGTGCCTTCAACATGGCGTATGTTAGATGGAATCTTCACAACCACCCCAAAAACCTAGTATGGTTCTTAACTACATTCGCAGATCAGAGGAATGAGGCTCAGAGAGGGTAATTTCATGTCTCACAACCGGGCTCCCGCTGGCTGCAACAGCAGCGTAGCCCAGTAAGTGACTAGAGAACATGTGCTCTGGAAGATAAGAAGGGAGCGTTTCTAATACTAAAATGAAGGTATGAGGGAGGCGCAGGGCATTCGAGTTAAACCAAAGCGGGGAAAAGGGTCCGCAGAAAGGAAGGCATTCCACTTACAGGGACTCACATGACCAGAAGAAAAGAAATTTGTTCTCTTTGGTTGTAATGCGGAGTCCAAGAACCACAAGGCGGGAAAAATGATCCAGGCCAGGTAGCTTCCCTCTCATTTTGCTCTCATGCAGCAGGATTCAAGGCTCAGGGAGTGGCCACAGGTGCGAAGGCCCTGGAGCGACAAAGGACTTGGTGAGTTGAAGAGCACAGAGGAGGTCAGTGAGCACCAGGGAGAAACTGTGCATTTTAGCAGCAACAGTAGTGCAGATTCCTAAGCAGGTATGTGGCATGATTGATTCCTGGAGAAGAGATTGAACAGGACTGGAAAGGGAAGAAAGCAGAGAGCCAGTCATGTAGCTTCTGTGAGCTTCTAGTTAAGGATGGAGATGCTTTCTCTGCCCTAGCATCAAATGAGACTAAGGCAAGGCTTGTTGTCACCTCTGACTTTTCATCACGTTTCCCAAAGCTGCAGTTACAGTACTGTGGTGTATGTTGGGAGAGGAGGAGAAAGGGACTTTCAAATGGACCTAAAGAGCATATGCAGCCAAGGGGTTAAAGACTGTCTTCATGGATAAAGGGAGTGTTCCTATGGTATTTTTAAGCATGAATACAATTTCAGTAGGAAACTATTAAAGAGGGCCTTCCAGAAGCAGGAAGCAGCCACAGCAGTGTAGAGGATGCGTGTGAGGTTACCTGAGGTGGTCGGTATGTGGCTGTTGTTCAGAGAGAAAAGTCAAGGGTAGAAGTGAAAATCTGCACATATCTGCCTGCAGCATGGTTGGCTATGCAGGAATAGAGCTCCTCACTGAAGGGCATGAGCAAATAAAGGGTAGTTAGATGGGCTTCCAAAGAAGCTTGGAGATGTCCACTTGTGGGTGACAGGCAGAAAGGGAGACATCAGTGTTTACAAACAACCAGGAAGTAGAGACAGAGGAGAGGGCTGCTGTGTCAAAGCCAAAAGAGATGATCGGTAAGGTTAACAGTACAGTGTAGTATAAAAGCCAACAAAGCTTTTATATGATTTGCTGAGCTCAACATCTAGAAGGTTCTTAGACTCTCAACTGCTCCTTAGTGGAGCCATCAAGGTAGAAGCCACAATGGCAGGGTTAAAGACAAAGAGATCTGGTGGGAATGCAAAGGTAAGTCCACCTGCTGTGTGCTGCACAATCTTACAGTGTCACAGCTAGATGTTGTTATGCCATATGGATTCCATTACCAGCCCATCAGTTCATGGAGGAGAAAACAGGCTTGAACAGGTAAAATAACTTGCCTAAGGCACATAATTAGCAAAGGGAGGAGTCTGTACATCAGGCTCCACAGCTTGTGCCCTTCGCAGTAGTCTTCTTGGAAACTTGGGCAGGAAAGAGGGAGAGGGAAATGAAGATGTCTTGATGAGAGGAGGGCCAGGGATGAGATCTCTATTCTAGTGCCGCCCCAACATGTCATCTGCTGATTCTCTCTGTAGACACATTTATATTTTAAGTAGTTGCCCTTGGATTTAAACCATAAATATGTCCACTCTTAAATTGTCTGTAGAGTTGGTCTTTACAAGAATGTTGCCAATCCACTAGCTAATTAGGTACTTTTTTATTTAGCAGTGGCAAAAAAGAGTTTTGAATAAGTAGTGGAGGATTGGGGAAGTTTCGTGCAAGGCATTGTGTCCACCAGAATGGATCATTTGCCATTTCCTTCCTGGTATTCAGGGCTAAGCTTGTGGACACCTCGTCTCTTCCTGAGGCACATCTTCATATTTTGCGGTGTGGCTGTTGGAAGGTGGATTTCTCCCTGGTGCCTCTCTCCACTTATATCAGTTGTTTATCCAACTCAACATTTTTCTGTGGCTTCAACATCTGACAGCAGATGCAGAGGCATCGTGCCTTCTCCTAACACTTCCCTTTATGGAGGAAACAGTGATTTCTGTGGCCATGAGCAAGAGCTGTTCCCTTAATCACAACTCTGTGTCTGTTTGTACCCTCCTGTTATGCGATGATTTGCAGCTTTGCCTAGTGATCATTTTTTGCCACCGCTTCATGATATGACAGCTTTATTTCCAGAATCTACCTCAGGCAAAAACTCACATTTTCCCCCAAAGTATTGTTGGGTTTTATTGAATACATTTCCTTCTTTGTTAAGCAAGGCAGAGTTAGCTGGCAAGACAATCTGTGGGCAACTAATTCATTTTGCACTTGAAAACCTGAAGATATGGATTGCTTTTATTGCTTCCTTTAGTTCATCAAATAAGAAAGTAGCTATGGTGTGTGCCGGGCGGTATGGGTGTGGGGGGGTACTGTTCAGGATGTCTTTGTACAGTAAATGGGAAGGAAGTATTTGGCTAAGGGCACATTCACACCACTGGCTGACCTACCAGACACAGGGCACAAACATCGTTCACAAAAATGATACCACACTGCCCTCTAGAAGGCATAGCTGAAAACTCCACTGGCTCCCCAGAGATGGAAGCCAGAATAAGTGTAATGGCATTCTTGCCTATAAAATATTTATACCCCTATTTTAAAAATAATCTCATTTAACCTGGTGTTGACACCACATCAGTTCATGTAAATGATGTAAATTAAGTCTGAATGGCAAAGAGCAATGCAGCCACTTCATTCTCGGTTCACTCTTCACGTAGTCGCTTCACTTTGAGAAGGGAACAGCTACTTTCAGCTGTCAGCTATTTGGAAGCTCATTTACCACGGGTTAAGGGTTTCAAATCCATAATGTAAATCATTTGATTGACAGACCTTTGCCCTCGATGGCACAATCAATTTTCTATTGCGAAGCTGTTATTTTCTCTAAGCAAATGAAAGAGCCCTGAGACATGAACTAGGTTGGAGGGTGGGGGAGCAGGACTGAAAATATGCACAAGGTAACCAGTGTCATTTCTGCTTTCTCTTTGGCTGTCGCGAAGACAAAGGGGTTGATGACCCGGGAGAAGTAACCTGCTTTTCAGGCAGTAATAAAGGCAGCACCTCTGAAGTTCAGTCCCTCAGCTCCTTCCAATCAGATTCTGGCGACGACAATGGTAAGAAGACTTCCAGGGTGCTCTGTGTGGGTGGGTTCTGTGTGCTGCGCTGGAACACGGGTTGGTGGGAGGGTGATGGACCAACTGGGTTTGTTTGTTGACCTCTTCCTGGGCTTTTGAGCATCTTCACCAGGTTTCTAATTGGCTCTATTGTTACGTGTCATTGCCGGAGAAACGGCCATACCCTGAAGCTCTGAGTGGACCCCAGTCAGGGGTTGACAAAGTTCCCCCAAGCCTCCATTAGTGAATCCTCTTTGGTTTGGTTTCTGATAGAACTACCTCATTCCAAGTGACACTTTATAGCAGATAAACAGATGTACTTCTTTTTTATTTTACTGATGATCTGTTCCTTCTTCACTGTTCATCCAACTTCCCCACCATTAGGAATTACTCCAGAGAAATGCTACTTTCGTATAGAACCGGTGGCATATTCATTCATTGACTCTCCCTTGTAATCATTTGAGGTCATGGACTTTGGTAGACTTGATTAAAAATTGCTGGGAATAGTAGTACATGCTTGTAATGCCAGCACTCAGGAAGCTGAGGCAGGAGGGTTGCCACAGGTTGGAGGCCAGCCTGGGCTACATAACTGGACACTGTCTCAAAAAATAAAAAATAAAAAGTCAATGAAGCAGTGCCTCAGGAAAATGTCCATCCTCCCTGAATGCTGCATGTAAGTCCTTATGGCTCCCAGAATGCTTCATACCCCCAAAGCTGCTCTCTCCACAACTTATAAACTTACACCTATGGAGAGGGTGTGGAATGCTAGTCTGAGTTTTCTGAGCTGAGGAACCAGGTTTGGAAGTTGGGTTGTTCTCTGCAGAGCAGGGGAGGGAAGCAGAAACTGTCATAGAATAGTAAATGTTTATCATATGGTGGTAAAATAACAAAATTCTAATCATTATCACAGGGACAGGCAACCTTACCATAACCTATACCTTAGGCCATTTTTCCCAATTAGCAACAATTGGGAAAAATTGGGTACTTTTAAAAATTTATGTAATCATTCAGTCCATGAACCCTTGCTGAGTTTTCTCTTTTTGCTGAGGCATATCCTGGGCATTTCTACACAGAAGTGCAAAATGAAAACGGTACAGTCTGGCTCCAAGGGAAATACAGGGACAAGTGAACTCCAGGACCATAGAAGTAATCTTGGATCTAGAATGATCTACTTTCACCACCATCACTCTCAGGTGTCTTCCACTTACAAGTGCAGAAGCTTCTGTATCTCTGTGCTGGAAGAACAATCCATGTAACAGTAGATTTCTGATCACTCACAGAAGGTCAAGGGCAAAGATCTTTGAAACAGATGTTTGCCTCAGTGCCTGCTCCTTTTCTCATCCCCAGCTAGAAAAAAAGCTATAGCTAGTTTGCATTGTATATAAAATGTCAAGAACATATATTTCTGACACACACCCCCCGCCCAGGCGGCAGCACCAGTGATGGTGCTAGTTGGCCATTCTCAAAAGCTCTTAGAGGCATGCACTTGCCCTTTCATGATTCACGTGATTGGTCTTAACTCAGGCAGGTGGTAGCAGGAACTTTCATCGATTCATTTTAAACCTGATCATCTCTCCACAACCTACAGGTATCAGCCACTAAAGCAACCCAACTAGACCATGGAGATCTCCTATGGGATTTTATCTGTTTGAGATACCAATTGCTGGCCCCTGCCTGCACTTCCAGCAGAAGCTAGGCCTTGAGTTGATTGGGCTATCCATGGCTTTATTTGAGTGAGAAGCCATCAGATCTGCAAAGGTCACTGGCATTAGGTTTGGAGCAGCATGACTGGTCACCAAGTAATTATCCCAGGGAACAGTGAGGTCTTCCTCTGAGAGCCTTTGGGAGTTGCTAATGAGAAATTAGCATGAGTTTGATGAGCCACTGCCTTCCTAGATTGATTTTACTGGGCCATGAGGTGTGAATTTATGACCCAGAAATCTCTGCCAATCACGCATTTGAGAAGGACAGACCCCAGACTTGCTGCTTTTCTTTTTCATTCCAACAACCCCAGCACCTTTTAGATAAAAGTGCCCATTGACACAGTTCCTGAAAGACAGATTATGGGAAGGCTTTTGGTGTTTGTGTGTTGCACCTTCAGGTTTTTTGTTAAAAGACGTTAACTTGTTTAAAATACACAGCTAACCTGAAACTGTCCTTCCCTTCCCTTCTCCTGTCTTCCTTTCCTGCCACAAGCATCCATAGTGACTGTCATTCAGCTCGTCAACAATGTAGTTGACAATATAGAGAATGAAGGTATTTACTTTTTTCTTCCATAGTATTTCTTTGCATGAAGAGCTATTATTTTAGCAATATTGCTTACTTGTTACTTTGTACCAGGGATGATTTTAATCAACGGAGAGGGGAATAAACAGTTACTTTCAAATAAGACACCGGATGTTTCTTTATAGATTGGAATAAAATTAACAGCTTCGAAAAAAAAATCTACTTCATAATTTTTTAAATGTATGGGGTACCCTTCATATAAAATCCCTTCTAAGAGAAGAGTGTCCCCTTAGTTGGAATCCAGATTAATGTTAAATTCCTTCTTTCATTTAACATGTATTTATGAAACACCTATTGTAAGCTGGAGATACTTAAAGCAACAAAAGCTACAGCAGCATAGGGATCAATTTTAATCAGATAACTTTTTTTAATGATCTCATAAAATTAGAGCATGATATAGATAGATTATCTTTTTATTTCATAAATAACAATGGTGAAAAATTTTAAAGGCTAAACCTAGTCGTAGCTCATAGTTTTTTAGAAGCATTTTTTTAAAGTCTTTAAAATGCTCTGCTTTATCTCTCCTCACATGATGTGGATTGTTAGATTTACTTTTTACTTTGTATTTAAACAGTGTCTGTCATGGACCAAGGACAGAACTACAACCGAGGTGACTGTCACAACTCCAGCATAATATTTTATTTTGCCTTTTGCTTTGCTGAGTTCATTCTTACCTGTCCCCCTCCTTTACCCCCACCCCGTCTCTTTGATGTAAATTTTGCATGTTCCAGTTGTCTTGTGTCCTGTTGAAGGTGAAAGCTCCATCTGCCCTTCTCCTCATGCGTGACGCATCCATTTGCCTGCACACCTCTTTGCTTTCTGTGGTCCACAATGCAGTGGACACATCTCTTTCTGCCAGCATGCTGCCAGCCTGGCTCCCTGAGTAGCATGTGGATGGGAAGAGCGAGTTGGGGTGGGGATAAGAGTTTCTCCAATTGTGTTTCTTCAGCACATCCTCACTGGCTGTGGGGCTGAGTGTGGGCTCTGCATCAAGCAGGCACCATCTCTCAAAATTGCCACTATTTGTTCTCCTCAGAACAGAGCATGGCCCCGAGTCACCTTTGTAAGTAGCACATAATGACCCATGAGGACCCCTGGCTTCTTAGATCTCCTGGATGTTAAGCATTGCATGCCAGGTCCTTCTCTGCTCCTTTCCCAGCCCTACCCCAAATCCAGTCTGACAAAATTAACTTTCATGGCATTTCTCTTAACAGCCTATCACTGGGACACCTCTGACTGGATGCCAGGGGCACGCCTGTCAGACATAGAGGAAGTGCCCAACTACGAGAACCAGGATGGAGGGTCTGCACACCAGGGCAGCACCCGGGAGCTGGAGAGCGATTACTACCTGGGGGGCTATGACATCGACAGCGAATACCCACCCCCTCAGGAGGAAGAGTTCTTGAGTCAGGACCAGCTGCCCCCTCCCCTCCCAGAAGATTTCCCGGACCAATACGAGGGCCTGCCACCCTCCCAGCCTGTCTCCCTGGCCAGCACACTGAGCCCAGACTGCAGGAGAAGGCCCCAGTTCCACCCTAGCCAGTACCTCCCGCCCCACCCATTCCCCAACGAAACGGATTTGGTGGGCCCACCTGTTGGCTGTGAATTTAGTACTTTTGCTGTGAGCATGAACCAAGGCACAGAGGCCACAGGCCCAGCAGACAGTGTGCGTCTATCCTTGCACAATTCCAGAGGCACCTCATCCTCAGATGTGTCAGCCACCTGTGGCTTTGATGATTCTGAAGTGGCCATGAGTGACTATGAGAGCGTGGGAGAACTCAGCCTCACCAATCGTCACGTACCCTTTGTGGAGACTCAACACCAGACCCAAGTGTAGAGGACACGCTTCCGACTCTTTGCCCTGTTTGTCATGGAAAAGTAGAAGGGGATTGGCCGGGCTTGTGTCTCAATGGAGAGTATTCTGTGGAAATGTGGTATTTTCCTCAAGGATTTCTTCACAAGTTACAGTATTCACAAGCAAGCTTTACCCAATTGGGTGAAAAGGAGAGGCTCAGAAATTGTTTCTGAGAGGGGACCAATAACCCTTGAAGTAGGTACCTACATTCATGGCTAAGAATACAGAGGAGAGCGGGGAATGAGTTCACTACCACTTTAAACAACAGATCTTGTATGGCTTTGTGCAGTATTGTGCCCTGGAAAGTGTGACAGCATCAGCCCTTGCAGTATTAATAACTGGCAACAATAAGAAAAGTATTGTTGCATGTAATTTTGAGCCACTGAAATGAAAATAGTAGTAATGGTTGTTGCAAAAGTTAGTATCTTAGATGAAGGAAAAGAGAAACAAATATCAAATAAGGAAATGGGCTAAAGCCTTTAAAATCAACTCTATTTTTTTAATAAGCTGCCCAATTTTCAGCTATAAAATTAGATTTGAGTAACATGTTTAGTATGCTGAGATTTTTTTGTTTGTGTTAAGCATCCAAAATGATATAGTTAGGTTTTATGATCTTTGGGAAAGTTATCAATGAAGAGCAATGTGAGGCTATTTGGGATCCACCTTGCGGGCTGGGGAGAAGGTTAATGCTATTCAAACATTAGAAAGAATGTGGTTATCTAGTTTCATGTTTTCTGGTAAATATTTCCAACTGTCACTATAATTCTAACTTGACTACAGGAATTGGCCTCTCATTATATTGTTCTCTATAATGAGATTTAGAAGTTTAAGCAAAATTCACAAATTCAGGATAAAAAGAATGTTATACTTTCAAAGTTTTCTGCCTGAATAATCACAATTCTTAATACTGCAGGTAAAAGGTACATGTTATTCTAAATTGGTAGTATCATCATTATGAAATAATTGCATTTTAAAAAGAGGAAAGTAGATTAGTTATTGTGTATAAAGTATAATTGTGTGTGTGTCTGGGCCTATGTATAAATATGTGCTTGCACTCAATACTCAATAAGGCTGCTCTTGAGGAAAGCAAACATGAAAGTTTTAGGAAATGGACTGTGTTGAAAATCCTGCCAGCGAGCACTGCGTACCTTCCAATTTTTCTGATCTCAGTGATGTTAGAAAACCACCAAACGCCATAGTTTATTCCAGTTCAGTTAACTTCATTTTGGTACTGCCATTTGTATAAACTTAAAGCAAAACTGTGCTTTTTAAAAACAGTATTTTATAATTTTCCAGAACAAACCTCATTTTAAAAATGTGTAATATTTATTTACACCCTGGGGTTTTCCTCCCATCTGACATGTGGGCTTTAGCTAAGATTTTCCAAAACTGACAGGAGAATTATTCCACTGCAAATACAGTAACCCAGTACCCAAAAGTTAAAGTTGACAAGTTGAGTGACTTTCCTCTTTTGCTTCAATCAGATTATGGCCACCTATGCAGTGACCGTGGTAAATAAATTGCATATTTGCACTATCTGCTTAATGAGCAAATCTCTGTGTTCACAGTTTCTGATGACATCTGGCATTGGTGTGTAAACTGTACTGTCCTGAGTCTACATATCATCCACTCAGACATACTTTTAGTTTTTTTCAGTTATGTTTAATCTTCTTACTTCATTGTAGGGGTTAGTGTTTCTGAACATATCCATTTAAAAAATAATCTCTTTTCATTTCCAAACTTCCTGCATAAGTGGATACACTTCACAGATTTTTCAGCCTTTTCCTTGTCTGTTGGTCAGACCTATTCATGAAGGCATTATCCACACTGGTCTTGAAATAAATGAATTTCACTAAAGCTGCTTTCTAGAATAAAGTCTTCGGTATTTTTTTATGTAAGAAGTATATTTGCAAGAATCATAGAGAAAATGACAAACTAATGGGCTAGAATTGAATCACTGCTACATTTTTAATAATGCAGTGACATAAAAACCATCAAAGTAAAACCAACAATTCATTTCTTTCCCCCAGGAAATATTAGAAGGAGATTAATGCTGATGAGTCACTACTGCTTACACAGCATCTCTCCAAGGGAGACTGCCTGGCTGACATAGTAACGAATGCATAAATAGATCCTAATGCAGTCATGAAGTCACCAAAGAAAGTGGTGCCCACCATTTGCTCTGGCCTATGTAAAATATTTCTTTCTTCAAGATATTTTCCCTAATTTTCTGCAGAATATTTCTGCAACTAAATATACACCAGACAAGCATGTTATGTTTTGACCCATTACCTTTAAACAAATGATACCTCTTCATCTTCTGGGAAATTACATTTCCTGTAGATTACAAAATAGGTTGCAGTCAGGCTATGGTGGAATTAGGTAGGACGACCATGGATTCAAAGAACTGGTAAGGTCCTAAAGATTTGCTAGTCCAACCCTCATATTTCATAAAAGAGGAAACATACCAAGACAGAGGAGACTTGCTCAGGCTCACACAGGAAGTTAAATATCCAAACAATGACTAGAAACATCCACTTGGACAGTATTCTCTTTACATGACATTGTTCGCCACTACCCTGTGCTGAGCGTGACCACCAATTGCTTCTGATGGAGCCACTGACTTCCCACCATTCCTTCTTTGTAATGCAAGGAAATAATGTATTCTCCATGAAAATGGAATATTTCTCTGGAATCTTTATAATCTTCTTTCCTTGCAGCACCCTCCCCCCAGAAAGGGTATACTTATACAGAATTCACACATTTCTTTCGGTGCTCATCAAAACTCTACTTTTCCCAAGTTAATGTTTCTAAAATTTTCATGAAATGATAAGTACAGAATTGAACTTAGGGCAGTCATCAATTATAGTGCGTTTTTTGTTTTTATTTTTATTTTTCTTCCCACTAACACTGCTTCTGTTTGTTCTTACCCCTTCCTCCATGATGAACCACATGGAAAATTCTTACGCCACTTAGTATCTTTCCCTTTTTTCTGACACTTATGTGCCATCTCCTGGAAGCCATGTTCCACTTACCCTATTGTAGGCACTTTACTGTATTGCACATGTTCTGGTCAGGTTGAGAGTAGTAATGACTGTTGACAGTAGTCATAGAGTACATAGGCGCTATGAGGCAATAAACAATGAATAAAGTAGGTGCTTAATTTATTCCCATTCTTCTACAAGTATTTTGCTGCTGAGTTCCATTTCATGCCTGCTTTCAGTGTACCCATTCATGAAATGCCATATTATAAGACTTAGTAATGTAAATAGGTTAAGCCTAGGCATCTGAGGTTCGACCTATCATTCTAACCAATCAGAGAAGCCCTAGTAAGGGAATTTCTTCTGGGATTTATCTGGCACATCCTCTGGAAATTACTAACACAGCCTAGAAAAAGAACAAGTAGAATATATTCCATTGGCCTTCTGCTTACTTCCCATCCTCATCCTACCCGTCATCCTCACTAATGCTGTGTCTGCATATCAAAGTCAAGGAGGCTGAGAAAAGGATGATCAAGATAAATAATTTTAAGACCAAAAAAACACTTTTGTATGGAATGATTCAGAAAGACCTAGTGTTCATTTTGCACAGATTGTCCAGGTAATTGTCAGGCCTCTTCACTCTGCTGTCCTATCAGTACATGGATACCGTAACGTGGTTAGGCTTTGGTCTTTTCGCTTTATGTTTCAAGCCATGGGAAAAGGAGATGAAGAGGCATTTCTCAATGTCATCATTTTGTGTGGTCCATGAAGATGCTTATGTTTTTGCTGGTTTGTGTCCTGCAATGTTCAACTGCACATTATTCTGATGAAAACCCACAGTGTCTTTGAGCTTCCAGTTGCATAATACTGAGGTTGAAAGTCACCATGTGTGGATTTGACATCAGTTAATATTTAGCCAGCTGGCTAAGATGGGAAAAGAATAAGGTATTTCTTTCCTTATGTAATAATGAAAAGCAATAATTACAAGTATGTAATAATACACAAAGGCCATAATTAGTCTCTTCCAATGTTTAGGATGCACGGGAGAATTGTGCAGTCATTTGGAGTGTGTTTGGACCCATTAGTATGTACTATAGCACCCTTTCAGCAAACAAATACCTGAATCGCTACTATTTAACAATTTTATGAGCCCGTACTACTGCATTTTTGAAGTGACAAATGTGTTTGGAAACGGAAGCAGTTCTTTTTAAGCACTGTATCAGAGATTGTCTTGTACATTTACCTGTTGCAAACAGGTTGGTTTGTAAAAGATGTATGTTTTGGTGTTTAAAATGTTTATAAAATTGTATATAAATGGTTTCAATTTTCCAGGCTTTTGTAGATACTATTTTGATGCCTATCAGGATGCTTTAATTTGGAGGGTCGAATATAATTCTAAGTCATCCATGCTGTTGGTCTGCAAACTTTTGTGGTAACTACACACAAAAACAGAGGATTTTAGATTTGAAAATGATGTTTGTTAATCATTTCAAAATGTACTGTAACCTTTTTTTGTTCTACTGTTTCCATTTAACTTTCTCTGTTTTCAAGAAAATGTTTTTTATTGACATTATTTTAGGATGAATGTGTTTTCCGCATTAAGTACCTGATTTTTGTACCATTTCAGAGTTAGAATGAGATGCATCATTTCTTCACGCGAAGCCAAACTCACCCAAACTTGCACACACACGCCACACACCAAACCTTATGCAAAAGGGAAAGCTGACACTTGAAGTGAACCCTGTCCCTACTGAAAATGGATTGTTCCTGCTTATATTGCTGTTGGCAGTATTCAGTCTTGTGTTCTTAAAAAAAATGAAAGAAGAGCAAAACAAACAAAAGGACAAAAAAAAGAGGAAAAACAAACAAACCAACAACAAAAAAAACCCCAACAGTGTACAGGTTTGTAACTGCCAAAATTTGATGGTTAAAACAAGTTTTCAAGTAAACAAAAAAATGAAACTAGCCATTGTGTTGACTCTTTTTAAATGCTGCCTTTATCCTTCGTTCTTGCATAGCTCTTAGAAGGGTGTATTCTGCAAGGCATGGCAGGAAGGCCCAGCTCAGCTCTTTAGCCCTCTTCTGCCCCTCACAGAGAGGGAACTCTCATCTAAAGGGCCTGCCTTTGTTTTGTTGTATCTGTGTGGATTTTTTTTTCCTTAGATTTTTTTTACCACCAGAAAGACTCCCATTAATTCTGCTACACATATGTTAAAATCTTATGTAACTTCTTACTGGCCATATACCCTGAGGGGCTTTTTCCTGATGAGAAAAACGAAGAGTGCTGGAGGCTGGAACAAATAACAGTAATTGAATTCCACCTCCACAGAAAAACTCCCAAGTTCATCCCACCTCTTCTAGGCAGCAATTCCATGACTTCCTTCCCTTAAAAGAAGGAAAGGAAAAAAGTATCAAGAGTTTGTGGAAAAATTGATATTTGAGTTTTTCTCCAAATCTGCAAAAAACTTTCCCTAAATGGAGCGAAAATCATTAAAATATATATGGCTCAATGGAAGAGTAGTTGCCTAACATGCACAAGATTCTGAGTTCTATCCTCTCTCTCTCTCTCTCTCTCTCTCTCGCTATATATATATATATGACATATGCATGTCAATAATTAGAAAAAAAAGCAACATAACAAGAAGCTTTCCAAAAGAAAAGAGAGGAGCACCCTGAGAGTGGGTTAGGGCTTGTGGCCTGATCAACAGCAAAACAAGGCCCAGAGGCTGCCGTTTGAGTGGGCCCTGCACCCACCAACAGAAGAATTCTTGCCCCATGCTGGCTGAGATTCCAGAGCCATATATCCATAGGAAATGGCCACAGCTTGGCAATGGTCTTCTTACTTGAAATCCTTACTGATTCAAGAGCTCATCTTTGGCAGTATTCACTATATTGCAATCCTCTGGTTATCTTATCTATCCTCCAGTGGAATACAAAGAAGTGTTTAACAATTTACTGAAGGGCAGGGAACCAATATGTTACATATGCCAATTTTTATGGAATAATACTCCTATCACAACTAATTTCAAGCCATCAAAGTGAGAGAAACTGGTTCACAAGATTTGTGCAAATCATGGGACCTTTTTTTTTTTTTGGTACTGGGGATTGAACTCAGGAACTTTTGCTTGCAAGGCAGGCTAGGTGCCACTGAACTAAATCCCCAGCCCAATGAGACTCTTACAGTAGGCTCTCACGAGCCAATAGAAACCAACCTTAGCATACCAGGGGACCCCTACTATACTATAAGCTACTTGAAGGTAGTGTCATCATTATCATGGTACCCCAGATTCCCAGTACATATTAAATGTTTTTTATTGAAACATTAATCAATGATGTCTTCATTTAAATCCCCTTGTTCTTCTAAGCACTTCCTCAATTTGACAAAGGCAACTGACTTTGATTAAAAACTTTAATAAGAAGGACTTAAAGAGAGCTAATTGTTGAAGATACTGAAGTGTCCTGCCTTTCAAGTCTCCTGCCCCACACAGGAAAATATTTACATGTATTCTTTACATACAGCCACCTTTTGCAGAAAGAGAATTAGTTAATTTTTCAACCATAATTTAAAAATGAGTGGTAGCACAATCCAGAGATGTAATTAAGAAATAGCAATAGTCTCTTGAGGGAAAGGAAAATAAAAAGGCAAGTTTATATCTATCTGCATTTCCTGCTGGTTTTTAGGATAAAGGTCTGACTTCTATCTTGAAAATAGTTCTCTGTGAAAAGGTCTCTTTTTTTTTTTCTGTCCCTCAGTAAAAATTCCCAAAAAAGACTGGTCCTAGGTTCGATGGTTCACTAAGGTTGACAGGACTCAGCCTGTAATCATACTCACAAATACAATTTATTACAATGAAAGGTAAATAGAAAAATCAGCAAAAAGAGACACATGGGATGAAATCCAGAAGAACCAGACACAAGCTTCCAAGAATCCTCTCCCAGTAGAGTCACAGAGGATATGTTTAATTTCCCACTCTGGCATCAGGTTGCAACAACACATGTGAAAGGTTGCCAACTAAGGGAGCTCCTTCAAGATTCAGGAGTTTTACTAGGGGCCAATCATCCCAGGAACCTCTGGCTGATGTGTACCAAAAATTCCAGACCTCTAGAAGGAGATAACAGGTATTCAACATAGACAATATTATTTGCACAAACAATTTAGACTTACTGAGCAACTTTTATCAGTTCTGGGAAGAATGAGAACCTTCCTTTTATGTCTTGTGTCTAGATGTCCCCCAAAGCCTCATGTGGTCATAGCTGAGGCTTTTTAGAAGTTGCTGAATCTAGAGTGTGTGATGCTGGGATTAAGTGTGCGATGCTGGGATTAAGGGTATGTGATTACTAAATTAGTTTAAGATTTACCACCTCACTCCTCAAATAATAGTTCAGGGACTAGTAGCATGGAGTGCAGCAGGAGCTTGCTAGAAAAACAGAATCTCAGACCAAATGACACAGTATCTGTACTTTACAAGATCTCCAGGTGATCTGTATGCACCTTGATAGCTGAGACACAGTGCTTTAGATTTTTGCCTTGGACCTGATACTTAACAGCTTTGTAAAATTGAGTGAATTACTTGTCCCCTCTATACCTCAGTTGCTTCATTTACCAGATAGGTTGGTTATAAGAAGATAATGACACAATGCATACAAAGAGCTTAGTAGCTTAGTACAGTGGGTAATAAGCACTATAATGGTAGCCATAAGTTATTTTTCATAATGTTTCTTCCAGTCTCCATTGTGTAAAAGGGACTTTAAGTCACTTTCAGGGGTTCCATCAAGTCTGGTTGCAAGAGAAAATTTTCAGTTCACATTGATTGTTTTAAATTAATAAAGTATAACGCTGAATTAAAGCCTAGGTATTCTCTGGAGTCATGTTTTCTGAGAAAACTCTCAGTAACATTATCCAGAATCTTGATCAGGTAAATGTGTTTTGCACAGATAGGCAGTCTCAGACCTTGATGAGGTTGTGTATTGGCACCAAGGCTCTTCATCTCTCACCCTGGCATTTTTTAACGAAGCCAAGGAGCTGATCAATTCAGGAGCTGCTTCTTGAGACAAAGACATTAATGCTGTATCATTTCTGTATCCCAGAAAGAAATAGCATTTAACTAAGTCGCAAAGGAATTCAGTGACAGGTGAGGGGATCCTGGTATGGGGAAGGCTATCAGGATGCTTGTTCTAAATGGCAAGAAATTGACTTTGAGAGGAATGAGATTAAAATGACCAAAAGGGTAGCAATTTCAAGGACAAAACTGAAATGTAGTGATAAGATTTGCTCTGTAAATAATTCACCTAGCACAGAAAATGGCTTAGGATGGGCTCTGAGCACAAAGAAACTTAATGATGCCTCAGAATATAATTAAGAATTCAGGATACAAGGTAATTAGAGAAGCCATAACCTGGAGGCACACAGCTGAATTATTCTGATCATTTTTAACAATGAGAAAATTTAATTTTCTGGTCATGTGGCATAGATTTTAAATTTGGATAATGTGGAGAGCAATGTTTATATAATGCAGCCAGCAAATTAAATTATTTCTTTTGATATTAACTTTCCAGTTACAAACAAGATCAAATAACTGAATTTAATTCATAGAAATGATTGAGAAAGCCAGGGATTTAGTGGTTTCGCTGCCTGCTATGCAGGAGCAAGGACCCGAGCTCGACCCCCGGTACCAAAAAAAAAAGATATATAAAGAAATGATTGAGAGACACATGTACTCTCTTCCTTAACACCAAGCTACTAATGTTGCTCCCTTTGTAATGTGTGTGTGTGTAAACCTGTGTCATTATTTGATGTTATGTATCAGTCAAAGGAGAATGAATAAATTACTTCTGTATATAAAAAGAGTCCATGTTGAGTTGAATTAGCAAAGAATTACACCTACTTTCCTTGACAAGCAGAGGTGATAAACATTTTCTTTTAGTTTCTAATTAGTACTCATAAAATTCAAAATTAAGAACTAAACTCATTTTCTGATGAACTCAGCATTCACAATGTGCTACAATGAATGAGGTCATGTTGGATTAGGAGAGCTCCTCATCCAAAATGACTATTGTTCTTATAAGAAGAGGAAAAGAGACACAGACACAGGGCCACATGACAATGGACTTAGGGATTGAAGTTCTGTGTCTACCAGCCAAAAGAACAGCAGGAATTGTTGGCAGCCAACAGACACTGGAAGAGAGGCACAGAGCAGGATTCCTCTCAGAGCCCCAAAATGAACCAACTCTGCCAACACTTAGTTTCCAAACTTGAGAAAATAAATTCCTTCAGTTCTAAAGCGATGTGGTTTCTGATATTTTGTTATGAAAGCTCTAGAAAATAATATACCTTCTGGCCAGGTTTAAGACCTTGCAAGAGTTTCCTCTCTGAGTTTCTAATTTCCCTTCTGAAATACTGGGTCTTGCAAACCATATCTATCATACAGAATTGGGATGGAGAGGAAATGAGATGATACTTGTAGATACTTACCACTCTGCCCAGCACATACTAAGATTCTAGCCTCTCCTTGGTTCAGAAAGTCTGGAGATATCCCCAGGACTGATAGACAGTCCTGTTGTCCTCAGGTAAGAGGACCTCATCTGTACTTCCTTAGTGGTTGACAAGCAACAAGAACAATGCTAAATAAACTCTTGTTGTTGGAAAAGAGAAAGAAGAATTCTCCATGCTTCTACCATATTAACAACTCCTATTTTTATTTTCCAATACTAATGTACACACTTTTGTTTATTTGCATCATTTTCCATAGTTGTAACTTTAATACAGATATTTTATATATTATTTTCACTCAGTAGTATATTTTAGTCATTTTTCTTAGGTCTGTAAAGTCATCATAATTTTAAATGATTTGCCTTCTTTACAAATATATTTGAGGGCCATGAATGAGTTCATGCAAGATGGAGCATCCAAGCTGAGAGCTGAAAGGAGCAGGAGATGAGAAGACCCTTTAACCTTCTGAAGGTGT